AAGAGGAAGGACGACATGGACGTGGATCAGGAAGGCTCCAAGAAGGATTCCACCGGGACGAAGGAGCCCACGCCTCGGGGTACTGAGGCTGGGAAGACAGACCCGAGTGAGATTACCAACTTCAAAGGGGCTACCTTCGAGGAATACCGGAAGACTGCTCCTGACTATGAGTACAGCGGGGAGGGAGATGATCGAAGGATCCTTCCCAAGAACACTCCGATAGACATGGAGAAGTCGTTGCCGGCCGAGGTAGCGCTCTTGATTCCGAGGGCAGTGGCCACACAGAAGGAGGCTGAGGAAGCCGAGAGGGCCGCGCTGGAGGCCATCCGCGGGGATTATAGGCTTCCGGATGTGGGTCAAGAGGACAGGGAGAAGGTCGACCCTTACACCGTGACGGACGAAGACTTGGCTGCGTCGGTAGACGCGTTGACTAGGAGGTTGAGCAACATGCCTGAGTGGTCGGGAAATATGATCGACCCTGCAAAGTCTGCTGAGCTGGTCGCGGCGAGATGGGGCGGAAAGGCGAGTTATGACAAGCCTGAGGCTCCTCTGACTGAGGCTGGGATGAAGAGTGCGTCATTGGAGGATCGTGCCTACGCACTATCGCAGCTGAATCAGATGGTGAACTTTCACAAGAAGCACCTCTGCTCTGGGCGAGGAGCGCCTCTGGTGAGTGCAGCCGCCCCTAGTGGACCCTTTGCTCCTGACCAGTTGGATGAAAGCAGGAAGTTCAGGCCTAGTGGGGCGGCGAGCAAGATGACCTACAATCTTGTGATACTGGATGGGAAGGAGGATTATCTTGCCGATAGGCGAGAGATCAATCCAGAGTTAAGGGAAACGGGAGTTATCCCTGATGAGGCCGTCACTTGCCAGATTGTGGTTCCCTCGAAGACGAGGTTGGGCGAATACCTCCCGAACTACGAGGAGACCGTGGGCACTGTTGCAGGACGGGAGGCGGCGAAGGAGTTGATGAGACTGCTCTCGTGCGATTTCGACGGTTTGGTCATCAATTCAAAGAGAGTCTCGGAGTTATTCGAGGAACGTGTGCTGAAGGAGACCGGACGTGAGGCTGGAAACTGGGTGAAAAGTGACCAGGCCATCTGGTTCCTGAAGGAGATTTCGGGTATGGAGAACGCTGAGATGTCTTGGAAGTTCTTCATTCCGACGCTCAAAGCTTTCCCGATAGGGCAAGTGGAGGCGATGCTCATGGTCATGTACGACGGGGATGGCGTTCTCCTCAAAGAGAGCACCAGGTTGGTTGCCGTTAGGCACACGCGGATCGGACGCGACTTGAGTTACAGTGCCGTTAGGCACAGGTATACTCAGGAAGATGCACCTGGCGGATCTCTGATGTATGAGATGCATTGGAATGAACTCCCCATGGTGGGATACGTCATCATGAAGTTCTCGGACTTTCGGAAGGCGGTTCAGCTCCAAAGGGTGAGGCGAAATGGAAAGGCCATGATCGAGATATTGATCACGAGGCCCGATGTGTACGAGACCATTGGGGATGGTAGACAGGATGAGGGCCTAATCCCACTTGTGGGAGCCATGGCGCCGGATGCCGAGGTATCGCCTTCGTGGTATGTCAGGGACAGGCTGCGGAACTACTCCGGCAGGTACGTGGTGGTAATGGTGGATCTTCGGGTGCACCGGTCCTTGGTTGGACCCGTGTTTTTGACAAGAAGGAAGACTCTTGCCGTTAGGAACGAGATCCACATGGGGGCTTGGAAGGCGGCGTATATGTACGATGATTACACGATAGTGTACCATCGGGCATGGGACTACGGTGACTTACCCCCGTTAGGGGAGAGCACAGGCGATCACGGGAAGAGATCAGGCTGAATGTGACTGCCACGTTCTGCTTGAGGTGCGCAGAATTGATGCCAAATGGGATGCACTTGTGTCCCGGGTGCGCGCTCCTTTTTACCCGAACTTTATCCCCAACGCGGAGGAAAAGGACTTCGAAAGGTGCCACATCGTGCCGGAGTGGGTGAGGACCATGGGGCAGTTCAAGCCCAGGAGGATTCCCTCCGAAGTGGTCGGAGTCATAAAGAGGAATTTGATTTCCTATTCGATGGCATCCGATCTAAGGATGACGGTGCAGAGCGGCATCAGACTTCCCCCTTATCTTGGTGAAGACAAGGGAGGTGTCGATGCGGCGTGGGATGAGCTGGCGAAGGTGCTATTCCAATTCTCCTATGTGTCCGGGATTTCGGCCTCGGATGCGTTTGTGGAGAAGTGGGTGGCGAAGCACCTGATCAAGACCAACCAAGTCGATAGATTTGAGTCGGTCACGGAGTACTTCCGGGCCAACCCAAGACACGCTGCTCAGTGGGGTAGGCGTATGACGACTTCCGTTAGGAAGTTCGCTCGTCATGACACGTACTTGTCATTCTATATTCCGATGGCATACGTGATTGGTTCCGCGGCTGGTCATCTGACCCCATTGTACCCGACCCATCGAAAGGACGTGGACATCCTGGAGAGTCATGCGTTGATTCGCAGCTCAGGAAGTACATGGTATCGGAGACAGGGTACGATGAGAAGAAGAGGTTGAAGGAGGCGATAGCCAAGGTGCAGAAGGCGATCAGCGCCGGACAGTCGGAGCCTCCCGCACCCTTCCGTGACCCGTTCGTCTACGTTAGTGACGAAAGGGTGAGGACGGTTCTTGACGGTCGTCAACCCGAACCATTGAACGTGGACATCGAGGGACTCCAATCGGTGCATCATGCTGCGCCGGGTCCTGGTCCCAAGCAGGAGCCGGTCCCCAAGGGCGGAAAAGGAAAAGGGAAGAAAGGGGAAAAGGGCGGTAAGGGCGGTAGTCCTTCCGGCCCACCACCAAAATCAGGTGAAGTGCCAGGTAAAGGATCTGGTAAGGGCGGTAGCCCATCTGTCCCAAAGGCGAAGGATGATGCTGGACCTGCTCCAATGGAGGTTGATACAGCAGCAGCTCAGCCGAAGAAGTCTTGGGCCGAGATGGTGGTTGAAGGGGCCAGGCCGAGTGCTAAGGCTAAAATGACCCCGGTTCCTAAGGCCGAGCCGAGAGGGAAGGCTGCTTCAGCATCTGAGGCGAAGAGTGCTCCGGCTCCAAAAGCTGTGGCTAAGGAGACGAAGCAGGCCGAACCGAAGGTTGAGGTCAAGAAGGAGAAGACAGGCGGAGGTGACGCTCCCGGCGGTAGCCGCGGGTCGGCCGAAGGGCAGAAGAGAGAAAGGAAATCCCGTTGGGATCCCGACGAGGCTGCGAAGGAGTCGACGAAGCGGGAGGCGTCCACGAGGCCTGGCGACGTCGACAGCAGACCAGGTGCGGCAGCGAGAGAAGCTAGCGGGGATGATCTTCACTCCGCGCTTGGCAGATCTTCGGCAAAGGATGCGGTAGCGCCTTTGACGGCCTCCAAGGCGATGGCAAAGAAGCCTGAAGGCGGGGAGATCCGGCTGCAGTCTGCTGAGCGGGCTGCGGCGAGCCCGGTGGAGGGTCACTTCCTGGTGCTGCCTGAGAGTTCGGTGGTGGACGCTTTCTTGTCGATCTCCACCAACAGAGTGCTGAACAAGCAGGTCAGGGATTTCATCAGGAATGGTGAGGACGCGTCGGCACTGGAGGCTCTCAACCAGATCGTGACGAACTCTCGATCTGGGAGGAGGCGTAGGGAATCGGATGTTTCCCGTACTCCTTCTCGGAGGTCCGTTAGGACCGTGGACACCAGGGATTCCAGGGAGTCAAGGAGGCGCAGATACCGTCCACGGCGCGAGGATGAGCGAGACCGGAGGAGGGACGATGCTCGTGATCGTCGTGATGATGAATCACTCGATCGGGAGCGAGATCGAAGGCGAGATGATCGCAGGAGATCCGAGAGGGATCGTGATAGGGACCGTGCGCGGGGCGGACGTGACCGGAGGAGACGTGACGATAGCCGGTAGGCTGAGTCACGAGGATTGCGGCCGATAGGCTTGCGTCCGTTCTCCAATGGTCGGCGCGGTGCGGAGGTGGTGATGTTCCTCCCGGACCGCTGAGGCGCGGAGGTCATGTCTCTCCCATACCGCTGCTGGGCTGCTGGACGTGTTCATCAGGGAGCAGTGTGAGTGAGAGGGAAAGCAAACTGATGGGGGGTTACTCCCGGGTTTGCTGAATTCAAGCATTTTTATTCAGGTACGCATGGTCAGGAGTACCTCTTGCCGTTAGGCGAGGGTACTAATGGACATACGTTATCTTTTATTTCATGGCTTCTGATAAGAATTAAACTTCTTGCATTGTTGATGCAAACAGTTGTGACCTAGTGTCGTCATGTGGACTTTTCCACAAGGTTTGTTGGACAGCGTTACCCCGATTAATTCGGGGTGGTGGCGGGAATTTAATGCCCGGGATGTCGCGCAACTGCCTTTGTGGGTTTGCTCCACCGCTGACGGCGGTAGTGTCCAGCTGTTTGCGGACGCATGCGAGCAGTTAAATCCTATCAGTAAATGGCACGCTCCACCCGTCATATGACGGGCTCCTCGTGAGGGGGGTGTGATTAGCCATGGTTCATATCATCATCAGGGACGTCGCGTTAGTGACCGACCTGTGGTGTTTTTGGCTCAAGTTTTGGGTTCCGTCGCGCCTCGAATGGGCGTCGCCGAACCCCTGCGTCGACCGACGGCATCTCGGGGGAGAAAGAGACCTCGGGCCGCCGCCAGGTTGGTAGGGACCAGTCGTGCGGCCTGTTGTCGACCAAGGTTGCGGGTTAACCCTTTTCTTGTTTGGTTTGTTTTCCTTTGGTTGTTGTTCTCTGGTGTGTGGGAAACCCTGATCTTTGGGACCGGGGATTGGTTTGCTTTTGGGGAACCTTTCTTTTGTGGCTTGTTTACCCCAACTTACCCATTGCCTGGGCACAGGTTCGTGCCCGAATCACAGAAACAAACAGATCTTTGCTTTCCATCCTGAAAAAAATCCCAGCCCAAATTTGTGTTGCTCTACAGAAGAAGTATTTTTTTCTTGGCGGGCATCGTGCAGTTTTTTTCCCGAGGTCCCGACTCAGTGGTCTGGGCGCCTGGCAGACTGACTCATGGCCACTGGGGACCAACTAGGAAGGCCAAATGAAGCAAAGGGTGTGAAGGAATGTGCTTCGCTGAGCTCCTGACTTCCTGAGTTCATGGACTTTAGTCACTTTTCGGGCTTCCAGTTTGGTGGTATACAAGCGTTTCAACTTTGACTTGCCAATCCACAGGAAGCAAGGCTCAGTGTGCCTTTAGTTTAGCCGGAACAAGGAGTAAGCAGTATTTGTCATCGCGGAGATCCCTGGTTCCTCAGCGAGTTGACGCTCGATTGTGGCTGCTGGTGTTTGGCCCTTTTCCCTGGATGGATTGAAACCAAAACTTCTTGCTGCCCTTGCTTGAGGAAACAAGCCGTCCGGCAGGTGCCGTCTTGCAGACGCTTGTTGGAACGCAGACCCAGCAGCGAATGATAACAAGACTCACCACAGCGCACTTTTGCGACTCCTCATCTTGGTGGCTTGCAGCCATCCGGTTGCTTGGCCTTTTAGCCTGTGGTAGTTTCCATTTGACCCACTAAAAGTTTAGCGGGGGATCTGAGGGCAGCCCAGTCATGTGGTTACCCTTTCTTGCATATTTTCAGTGGTGTAGTTCCCCTTGCAGCTTTTTCTCCGTATCAACAGCGTCCCATGTCGTCAGTCAGATACCACTTGTGTGCAGCCTGTGTCAGAGTCACGTGAGACCCGATTCGTACCATATTTGTTGTACACCTAAGAGCTTCCTTGTTGTTGTTGGCCGTTGGCACGCACAGAAAGGAATAGATTCCTGGGAGTCGTGCGAGTTGGGCACCATAAGAATATACTTCGAGAGACTCCTTGGTCTGAAGTTCTGGTCTCAGGTTCAACCTGACCTGGAGATCGAAGCCACTGTGGGCGAGGTGGGAGTGTCGCTGTTGACTTGAAGCGCGCGGTTTCATGCGTGAGCTTGCGGCAGCCAACTGACAAAGCGTATCAAGCCATGTTCGAACGGGCTATCCTTTCCGCAACAAGTTTGAGCTGCCGAGCAAGCATCCCTAGCTAGTGTGAGCTACCACTGAACAGGTTCGTACAAGGGATATGTAGTGAAATGCAAATGTGTGAACAAAATGAAAAGAAAAACGAGACACAAAGACGACTTGTAAAAGCGATGGCTGCATTTGGCGGCTTTTGCAAGGCAAGCGCAAGTCTTCAGACAGAGTGCTCAGAATGGAAACAGGGTTGCTTGCAAGATTCCAGCAAACAAGTCATGGTTGCTAGTAAGAAACGTAAATTCAAGGCTTGCAAAGCAAAGAACAAGCTGCCAATAAAGGCACCGGGTTGTCACACATGTGGGACAAGGCACGCATGATGAATTCTTTGTAAACCGAAAGCGACTTTGTTAGGACGAAGGCTGTACAGATGTTCCATTTGGCACATAGGAAGTTTGGCAAAGGCTCATGTGGGGCCCCCTGGTTCCGGTTGCGTTGCTGAACCTTGCTTGATTTGGAGTAATCAACTCAACATTTGTTTGGTCTAGTCACTGCTCAAAGGATCGAAATCAAGCTTGGTTTCAGGGGGGTCTCAAAATGGCGGATCATTTTGGTTGGTGTTTGTTTGGGGGGAAGCCAAACAAAGATGTGCCTTCAAGGGATAGTCTGGAGTCCAAATTGGGGTTGATCAATGTTCCTGGCTGCCAAATGCCCAAGGGTATCTTTGCCCATGTGGTTGACATGTCTCTCAAATCCGTTTTTGTTTAGTGGTTTTCCAATCAAGGGCCATCCCATGTTTAAAAAGGACCCTTCCAATTGCTTAAGAGGATATTTGTTATTTTCCCTTGTTGGGTACGGGCATTTATCACTTTTCCCCCAATCTTTTCCAGGGGGTGAACAAAAAAGATGCAAGTGGAGGAACCCCCAAATCCTCCATTTCCAGACAGAGCTTTCGCACCACTGGCCCCGACCTGGGCCAGGTCAAAAGCCCCGGCGTCTTCCAGGACGCCTCAGGTGCGGCTCCTGCCGCTCGGGTGGGTTCGTGGGCCGCGATGTATGGCACCTGGGCGGCGGTTCTTGAAACATCCCGTACCCCCAGTGAACATCCCAATCCACTAAAATAGGTTCTAAAATGGGTGGTGAATTCACCTACCCCAACGTGGTACCATTGGTTTTGACCCACGGTCACATGGGTGTGGCTCAAAATTAAACGATCGGAGGGGCAAACCGCAGGTTTTGGTACCCATGCTTCCACTTACCAGGGCAACCCATTTTGGAATTCCGGTTTTTTGAGCCACACCCAAATGGAAAACACGTGGGCATCCTAGTGAATAGTGAAGAGTTGAAGGCAGTGCGGCTGTTCTGCCTTGCGACGGGGTTCCGGTTCATTTTAACCCCGAAAACAAGAACACCCTCAAATTGCAAACACGGATGGATGGACAAAAATCAATACAGGCACCAGTTGGTCCGCGAAAATGTGTAATGAACGAATAGTTGATAGTGTAGGACAAATAGTAGTTCAATTTAATGTAGAAGCAAGCATGTGTAAACAATTGTCAACTGAAACAAATACTAGACTGTACTTAAGCATAGATCATAGCCATGCTTGTCTATTTGTGCTTCATCAAATTGATCATACGTGTGTTCGATCTAATGAGTTTGTGTACCATTACCAATGATTTAGTCACTTAATTTACCTCCATTAATATTCGACATGTAGTCATAGTTTGTTTCATCACCTACTGAATTCACAGATGTAACAAGGATATTGAGTGAATTAAATCGACATACTATTGATTTTGTACTTCACTTTAATGACTCAACAGTGATGCAACAACATAGACCAACAAAACATGTAATTCGATCTGGTTGGTTCATTTCATTCGGAAACCGTCCCCAGGTCGGCTTAGGAGTTCAGGCTCTGGGTTTTCTTTTTTGTCCTGGGTGTTAACTAGGTCCCCAGCTAAGTGCCCTTTTACCCTTTCTTTTTTGGGGGGAGGGTTCCCCTACTAAAATAGACTACAGAATGAGTTGGTACCAACTTATTCTAACCTCTCTACTGGAGGACCCAGTTAAGCTTTCTCTAGTGAAAGTTACTCGGGCACATTGAGGCCAGACTTCAGCCAGCTTCGTTTGGGGTAGAAGATCGCAGCTGACCGGAAGCAAGTGTCAACCTAACACACCATATCTGGCTCCCTTAGCTAGTGGTGGTTTCCATTTAACCCACCAAAAGTTAAACTTTTCGCGGGGGATCTGAGGGCAGCCCAGATATTAGAAGCCTGTGCCCACGAGTTATACTGCACGTTCACGCGCGAGGTAGCTTCAAGAGCCAACTGTGAGGAGTCATGGGACCTTGATGTAGGCCGTTTAATGCAGAAACGAATAGATACCTCCATCGCACAGGTCTTCTCGGTTCTTCGGGTACCCCTAGCTGTCCTTGACATCAAACACAGCCTGCCGATGCATGCATGTTCGTAAAAAGAAGAAGAAGCGTGTTCCTCCAATTTGGCGCTCACAAATTCGGCTACCAAGGTAAATACCTTGTTCATAAAAGCATGTTCCTTGGAGCTCGCAAATTCCACTGAACCCCATACCAACCAACCTTTGGGGAAACGAATGCCAAGCGCAGTGGATCCCAGCCAGTAGAGTAACCAGCCATTGATGGGTTGTTTTGGTTTGGCATGGTTTCTTGCAAGGCTGGGTTTTCATTTTTTTTTTGTGTGTGTGTGTGTGTGTAGTCTTATGGTATTTTTTATGTGTTGTTTTTTTTTTGTTTTTTTGTTTTTGTTTTTCAAGGCTGGTTTCCTGGGTTTCTTAGGGCCCGGAATCCACGGCCCTTTTGGTCCTTTTTAAAGGGCGGTTTCCTTGGCTACCAAATGGAATCACTGGGAGGGGTTTGAGCGTGGCTAGGGCTCATGCTGGGCAGCTTCAAGCTGGAGGAGGGGTGGGGTGGGATTGAACATTGTTGGGCGTTTGCTCCAAGAATATGGCTGTGGTTGTCAAAACCAATGGGATCCCATTTTGGGGTAGGTGAATTCACCACCCATTTCAGAACCTATTATAGTGGGAATTGGGAAGTTCACTGGGGGTACGATTTGGCTTTTGACCCATGGCCATATGTTTCTGGTTTAGATTTTGGACGACATGTGGGTGGGGTGTTTTATTTTTTGAATTGGTACCCCTCTCTTTGGGTGGTTTGGAAGGGAGACCATTCATTTTGGGGGTTCCCCTATTGTGGCACACGTGTGTGTATATACATATATATGTATATTTAGATGGAACAGAATTAGAAAAACTTCATTTTTTGGCGTACCACAGATATGGGCCAAAATTTGGGTATGTATGAAACCAGTGATTTGGACCCCACAAACGCATATTCATTCAGGTTTTGTCATCCTCTTTGGGAAAGGGAGCGACATCTACTTTCATCAGGTGGATGTGGTTAGGGAATCGTGATCATGACAGGTTTGTTCCTTTGAATGACCCAACTTGCACTTAGCATCCGAGCAGGGTGCGGCTAGAATAGGGAGCCTCCGAACTGAAATCCTTTAAAACCAAGCCGGGTGTGGCAAGAGAGAAGAGCATCATGGAGCATACGACACCGCTTGGGGATGCGGGTATCTTTGCTGGTGTGTTTTTCCGACAAAGAAGCGTAGCTGCTTTCCGCATTGGACGGAGTCATTATTGTAGCAGAGCAAGCACGCTTTCGGGGCTGTATCTGTTTTTGCTTCAAAGGTGGAGAAGGTAGGTGACACCACAGAGGCTGTGGTGACACTACTCAGGGGGGGACCAGTGATCAAGATTGGTTGTCACTCCCTAATTCGGACTTTAAACTTTTTGAGAGCATATAAGTGGTAAAAGATTGGACTTTGGCCAACAAGCCAGTAAACATGAGAATTGGCGATGACCTTTTCCGACTCATCTCATGCATTTGTCTTTGTTTGCATGGAACCCAACTTCCAAGGATAAGCACTGCAAGCTCATTTTTAGGTTCCAAAACATGTGTCCGAAGTACTTTGTTTGGCCCAAGCTACATCCAAAAAGGAATCCAAGACGAGTGGATCAGCTGCCCAAAGGGAGCCAGCTCGGCACGCGCGCAGCGCCGGCCAGCAATCCGCAAAAGCACGACATGTGCTAGAGCAGCTATGCCGCGCCTCATGTGTTCGAACCACACGCAAGAGAGATGCGAACCCAAAGCAAATTCCGCAAGAGAGATGCCAACCCTGCCGGCCTGGCGCCAATCAACCCTATCCCTCTTCTTCGCGCCCCCGCCCCAACCCCAGTGGGACCTGAGCAAAGTGTGGCTGGGCCAACACGTTGGTGGTCCCTCCTGCAGGTGCAGTGCCAAAGCAGAAATCCAGACCAAACAAATGTACGATGCCGTACAAGCTGCCAGGCGCATATCATGGCGCAAATCCGACACAAGGATCTCTATGACACCTGAAAAGGAAGCCTTGAACTTAGCACGTGTTGCAAGCTGGATCTAATTTAGACGCTGCGTGCCGCCCACCTTACCCAGGCTCCAAACAACCATAAGAGCAATGCGGGCTTGAGCAAATGATGCCGGGGTTGAGAGGTCTGGGCTGCAAGAATCTTGAGGCTGGAGCCGGCGGCTTGAGGGCAGCTGGAGCACGGGTTTTTGAGCGTTTGCCGCTTATTATCCAAATGGGATCTGGCCCGTCCACACCCGGGCAAATGGAAGAGGCGCAAAAGAGCGACGCAGAAAAGGACCAGCAGGAATCCCCCGCATTCATGGAAAGCACCCACAAAGCAGCCGGGGCTAGGCCGATCGATTTTCCCCAATTTTAAAGGGAACCTATCACTGCTGGACGTGGCTTTCTCCAGGGACTTAAGCAAGTGGAGGTTGAGAAGCTGGAGGAAGTATATGTTTGCCTTTTGCGTCTGTCGAGACCAAGGAAGAACTGGTCATGTCGCCAGTTGCATTCGGAGGACCAGCAGTTGCAACACACCTTGCCGAGCGGCGAGGTGCAAAATTGGAAGGCGGAAAGACGGACGTCACTGGAGCCTCCTAACATTTGATTCGGGGGCATCATATTGGTGAGCCCCCCCTTCCTGGTGGCACATGGGAAAGCAGCTGGAAAGCAACCGTTCTTCAATTCAGGCCCATTGTGAGCGAGTGGGTGAATGCCTCATCGTAAGCTTGATGGGCTATGGTTCTGTTGTTGGCTGTCACACAGATAGCATGCATCATCATCCCACTGTGGCGGGTGAATGAGGAGAAGCATCAGGGGGCCCACAGCCTACATACTACATTACCCATCTATTATCCAGGTATCACTATTTCAAGAGGGCGAGCAGGGTCAAGCGAACCGCTTCCCCCACAGAAAGGCAACTTCACTGTTCCAAACACTCACTTCCAGCATCGTGAATTTCCTATCACACATGACATTGTTTTGCATTGATTTCCCCTTGTGCCAAAATCAACGCCGCGGGTTGTTTTCGGAACTTGTTGCCGAGTGTTCCTGGAAGACGTGGGGAACTTGTCCTGAATCACGGGTTCGAACTGCGTTCGTTGCTCGCTTCCAAGCCCGTGGCTCTTACATTTGGGTATCCTGCGTAGCCTGACACACATCGAGGACTGCTCACCTGCCAGTAGAACGAGCATGGTCAGGTACCAATGTCTCGCTAAGCTTGGGACATGCGTCAACATTGTTGCCTTTATGGCTGATCTTTGCCTTTAGCTTTTTCTGAAAGCGAACCAAGTTACGAATGCTTGTGCTTGGGTCAAGCACGTCTTTGCCGCGTCTTTCCCACTCGCCGGCCAGGTCCGGGGGATGACCTTCAACCCTTTGGCGGAGGCGCCGGAGGTCGGATGGGGAAGGGGATTTTGAGTCGGTAGCTTTTCAGGTCGAGGGCAGCTTGCTGGTGCTCAGTAGGGAATCTGGGACTGAACCCAGAGGTTTTGTACGGTTTCCCTCATTCCCTGCTGGGCCCCAGCAAGGAAGGGTCGCTTGACACTTGATACATAGTGAAGGTTTGGGATTAGGATTTAGGATGGGTCCGGGTGAGTGCAAAGACCTGGGCTGTGCGATGGGTCAGGGATGCTCAGCGATGGGCTCCGCGCGATCAGCCCTTTTCCGCGAGAGCATCTTGCGGGATTCGAAATGTCAGAATGTCTGGGAAAAAGTTGGCTTCGGGTCCACACGTTTCAGGACTTGAAAGGAACCAGTGATCATCCCAATGTCTTTGTCAGACGTGTGGATTCCTTGGCTGGAGGTGCGGAAGCACTTGACTCTGCTAGGTGGACCTCTCGGAGGGAGCGAAGGTGAAGTACTGGAGCGTCACAGTGCCTTTGTGGATAGTTGGGTCTTTGTCAAAATGGGTGTGGCTCAAAATTAAAGAGCTTGAGTTACGCAGGTTTTAGTCTTAGTTTCCATTTACCAAGGGGCCATGTTGGGTACATTTTTTGAGCCACTGCCAACTGAGCCACAATCAACACCCGGGTAAGTGAAGCTCAGTAAGGGACAATCCCAACCACAAATGGGTGCAGCCGCCTTGTCAGTTCCTT